TTTCCGGAATAGCGGCTGATTTTGTACAGTAGAGCATCGTTGCTTTTCCGGAAATTCAAGGGCCAGTGTAGACAGCTCACAGCTTATTCTGGAAAAGCGGATGATTTTCTGGAATAAGTGGCCCAGTGTAGACACAGCCAGTGTATCCAAATCATCAATCATGTTGATTCCTAGAGTTTCTCAACATTTTCCAGACCTCACGTGAACTAGATTTTATAAGAATAAGATTGAGGGTTCGCTAAGGAGGTTTCTTGATGTTTAATTTTTCTGTAAACATAGATTTTCTATTTAAAAAAAAACATAAAAAACAACGAATGGTCCTGTAGCACCTTTGAAACTTACCAGAAAATATTGATAGTATCATGAGCTTTCGTGGGCACATCTTCCGATGATATCTGAAGAAGTGGACTGTGCCCACGAAAGCTCATGATATTATCGATATTTTTTGGTAAGTCTCTAAGGTGCTACAAGACCATTTGTTGTTTTTTAAGTTGGTATTTTTTTGGTTACAGACTAACCCAGCTACCCCTCTGATGGATTTTTGTGTGTGTACTATTGATTCCCAGTCCTGCAAGCACTCCCCCTGTCACACACTCACATAGGGAGTGCCAGCTAATCTTTAATGCCCCTTCTCAATCCTGCAAATCACCTCTTATTTCCAGAGTATCTATTATTAATATTTGTATTACACTAGAACCTAGCAGCCCTGACAAATTCTGGTCCCCGTTGTGCAAGGTGCTGTACAAACCAACAGCGAGACGCAGTCCCTGTCCCAAAGAGGTTACAGGCTGCATAGCTATGACCAGTGAAAAGTGGGAAGGAACACAGGGAAGCAGTGAGTACCCCGCAGGTTCATACAGCAGGCCAGTGACTGAGCCAGGAATAAAAACCTGCTCTGTAGAGCCCCAGTCCTGTGCCCGCCCATTAGACCATAACTTCCCCTAGCTTTTCTGTAAACGTTCGCAGGATCAGGCACTCTGGTGTCACTGATCTACCAGTTACCAGGCCTAGGTATCAATTGCCTCCATCGCCAGCGGATAATCTGGCAGAGATTTGTGAGCAAGGAGGCCTTCTCCCATGGGTAGATTCTACTGAGCCAGTCCAGTCTCTCTCTACCTTCCTCTGGGTTTATAGCCAGACAGTTCCCTGATGTACTTGCTGATATACACAGCCCGAGTCCATGGCTGAACCTCAAAGTTGACCTCCCGTCTTGCCAAGGGGCCCCTGGTGCTTCTGATCCCGTTGGTGTTCCTTTGCTGCTGGAATGGATTCTTTCAGCCATACTAAACAGTTGTCCTTTGTGTATTTCCAGTGGCCTGGTTTTCATTCGATCCCGGCTCCGCACACTCTGACATCCTCTTTTCCAATGACAACCTGACTGTTACCTGTAACAGCTACGATGACAGGGTTGTGCTGGGGAAAACTGGCTTTTCCAAAGGGCTCCATTATTGGGAGCTGTCGATCGACCGATACGATAACCACCCAGACCCGGCCTTTGGCGTGGCTCGTGTTGATGTCCTCAAGGATGTCATGCTAGGGAAGGACGACAAAGCCTGGGCAATGTATGTGGACAATAACCGGAGCTGGTTCATGCACAACAATTCACACACCAACAGGTATGCCACCTGGAATCAGGTCTTCTCTAGACTGGCTTTTTCTCGAAGATCAACGTCCCAAATTCAACCCTGACATAAGCCATCTTTCATGGCATCTGCACACATTTATTCTGGGAATGAATTTGTTCTTTAGCACCTAAAGTGAAGTCCTTATACTTAGCATAAACTAGTTCAGACATCCTTGGGACTATACCTGCTCCAAGAACTTTCCACCTTCTGTACTAAGAATGAATTGTTCCTGATCTGTCTCTGCTTCCTAGTCCTCTGAACGGTCGCCCACCCATCGGTGCAGAACATTTCACCACTAGTGAGTAATGAACCTATCCCAGACTCATGCCAATAAACCTTGATAGCTTTATACCATCTGGAGTGCTATATTGTGGTGGAGAACATGTCTCCATGGATCCTGACAAGCCAGTTGGTGAGGATCTTACGCTTATTTTGGAAGCAATGCATTCTTCCCGTAGGCTCTTCCTCCATTAGAGGAGTAGACAGAAGTGCTTTCGACAGCCAGTCGTCTGACTTAAGTGGTTGTAGTTGGGCAAGACCCGCCTGGATGCCGTTAGCGTTGAGCTCAGAGGGTTACTCTCATTGGGGTTGTGTTTCAGATCAGACTGGTATGTGCACTTGTCTTAGAATAGGCACTGTAGTGGGGTCTCCTAGCGCCTGTAAATCAGCATGTTACTCTTTTGTGTGTCCTGTGTGTTCCCGCCACATAATTTCCTGACCTAGAAGGAAAGGAACAAGACAAAATGTCCGCAGGCACCATACAGAGGAGGAACAAGTCATGGTATTAAGATGTGTCTGGGAGGCTGTCTATCATTACTCTCCATCTTACCATGGAAACAAGAGTTCCCTGCTCAGTGCAAGACGATTTTATAGCCCTTGGGACTCACCCGTAGGGTGAACCTTTCCATTGATGGCATTGGGAGTTGGATCAGGGCCTCAGCTGCTAAGTGAGAAGTGAGACTCTGTAATACAGACTAGAATGTTCTATGGTAGACCAGAACATTCTAAGACTGGACTCCATAGTAATACAGACTAGAGTGCTCTATGGTACACTAGAACATTGTAAGACTAGACTCCGTAGTAATACAGACTAGAATGTTCTACGGTAGACTAGAACATTCTAGACTAGACTCTGTAGTAATACAGTCTAGAACATTCTAAGATAGACAGTGGCATGTGTTCTGTTTTGTGGAATGCCAGACCGCAACGTGTGGCACAGCCTTACTGCACCAGTGTATATTATTTCAGGAGATGCACTGATGGTGGAATGGTTGCCTTACTTCTTATGTCATAGATTCTCGACTGCATAAAGAGTTTGGACCCAATTCAGGGAGCCGTACTCAGCCTGGCAAACTCCCACTGTCTTCCCACATGGCTCCTTACGAATGGCTGAGCCATGGTTTTAAAAGTTCAGAGAAGTTGGTCTTTCCTCAGGTCTCTGCGAACAGTGTGATTGTCTATAGATGCAATTCCAGCCTTAAACACACCTGCCTGCCCCTGCTTCCATTGCAAATAATGGGAGCCCCATGTGTGTATCCAAGGGGCAGAATTTGGCCCATTTTCACTAAAGTACAATATTGTGCAGTATTTACACCTGTATTTATCGCTTGAAGGGTTTTGTGACTGCACTGGTTCACTGGAAAAACAACGTGCACTCCTGTGGTACCTTAAAGATGAAGGCTAGGACTACGCTAGACCTGGAAGCTCAGCTTAAGGTACACAACACCAGCTAAGTAGAATACGTAGCTGGAGTTGGCTTACCTTAAGTCAAGTTTAGCAGTGTCCCCATAGCCAGAGGCCGACAGGAGCAAACACTCTTGTCAGCTTCCCTTACTCCTCGCAAGAGCAGGAGTACTGGTTTCTGGCAGGGGTGCCTTCTGAGTTTGATTTAGTGGCTCTTAACTAGACTCGCTAAATCAAACTCCGGAAGATCAATCATGGCAACATCGATCTTCCGTGGAGTGAAGACAAGGCCTAACAGATTTATTTGGGTATAAGTGGACAAAAACCACTTTGTCAGATGCACCTGATGCAGTGGTTTTTTGCCAGATGCATCTGACAAAGTAAGTTTTACCCACCAAAGCTGATGCCAAATAAATCTGTTAGTCTCTAAGGGTATGTCTACACTACCCCCCTAGTTCGAACTAGGGGGGTAGTGTAGACATACCCTTAGAGACTAACAGATTTATTTGGCATCAGCTTTGGTGGGTAAAACTTACTTTGTCAGATGCATCTGGCAAAAAACCACTGCATCAGGTGCATCTGACAAAGTGGTTTTTGTCCACTTATACCCAAATAAATCTGTTAGGCCTTGTCTTCACTCCACGGAAGATCGATGTTGCCATGATTGATCTTCCGGAGTTTGATTTAGCGGCGGCACAGACTAGGTAGTTCGAATTAAAGATCCTGGAATGAGGAGTAACGGTAGTTTGAATTAGGATCTTTAATTCGAACTACCTAGTCTGTGCCGCATGTAGCCGCTTGCACGGAGTTCGGACTAAGGGGGATTTAAAAATGGCGGCACCCGGGAACATGCAAATGAAGCCCGGTATATTTAAATCCCAGGCTTCATTTGCAACTCCACTTGCCCTCATTACCCTACCTAGATCGAACTAACGAGCTAGTGTAGATGTACCCTAAGATGCCACAGGGCTCCTCGTTGTTTTTGCAGACGCAGACGAACCTGGCTACCCCCGGAAACCTGTTTCACTGGAGACTGCCATGTATCGGGGCCCTATTTTGTGCATTTTGGGGAGGCCATTCCGTAGCAATTCTGTAGCATTAAGTGATGCACATCCTCTGACTTCCTCTTTCCCCAACAGAACCGAAGGGGGAATAACAAAAGGGGCTACCGTGGGAGTGCTCCTTGACTTAACCAGAAGAACCCTCACATTTTCCATCAACGAAGATCAACAAGGCCCTGTGGCTTTTGAGAACATGGAGGGCCTGTTCTTCCCTGCCGTCAGTCTGAACAGGAACGTGCAGGTATGTGCTTTGTCGGGTACCACGCGACATGGAGAAAGAGGTTTCACGAGAGCAGCGTACGAAAGATCTCAACCAGATGGGGAACTCCTATCTCTGGAGCACTGTCTTTCTGTGTGTTTACCACCAATCTTATCCACGAGAGTGCTCTCAACACGGTAAAAAAAAAATACTCTAGCAGCTGCTAGCAGGAGTGTGAACCTTTGTGCAACTGGGCGGCTTGGAAGACTAAACGTAATGTCGCTGGTCACTGGTGAGCCGTTGTCACGAAGATATGCCTTTGGACAACACGTGGCTTGTTCCTTGGGCTTCTGCTCCCCCGTGGATGGAAGGAGAACAGGATTGCCCCTGCCTTTGGCTCAGTGGAGCCTGGCAACTCGGTTTCTCAACATCCTCCAGGATTCGCCCTCGTTATTCTCCTCCGGCTCCCCGTTGTGTGTTACCACGGTGTGGGGCATGTGCTGTGTCGTGTTCCACACACGGCCGTTCTAAACACAGGCTCTCTTGCACTCTGGACCATTCACAAACTCTGTCTCCGCAGCGAAGACCATTTAATGTTTATCTTGCTCGGAGCTAGCCTGGTATTTTTAGTCTAATTGTTTTATTTTCCCCTCACTTCTCCCAGCCTCTTTATTGTCCTCTTTGGGGCTTTATTGTTTCATTCACTCAGCAGACTCTTTCACCGAGACTGGGTTTGGCCTGCCCACTTCATCGCCCTTTGGTGATTTGGAAATGGGGGTGCTTGGCTCCTGTGGGGGTGGGGTCTGGGTAGAGGGGCGGGGTTGTGGGCGGGGCTACTAGCCCTACCTTCAGCCACCCCCCATGCCACCAAGCACCCTGTGCAACTCCTCTCCCGTGGTCACTGCGGGTGCAAAGCCCACTCCAAGCAGTGCTGCTCTGCCACAGCCCTGCACAGCTGCCAGGACACTCTTGAAAGCCCGAGCCGATGGCCAGTGGCACACGGCGCTGCTTGCACGTGGTGTTTCGACCCCTGGCTCACGCCTGTGAAGTCAGGATGTAGCCCTACGGGTGGCGGTCTAGAGACTGCTCCCTGGTAACAGTGCTGTCGTTACAGGTGACGCTCCACACCGGTTTGCCGGTGCCCGAATTCTACACGCCCAGGGGAGCCATGCAGTAATGAGACTGCTGAAGCCAGCTGCCTTTTCTCAGGGGGAGCTGCTTTGCCTTGTCGAGACGAGACCTCCTAGGAGCCGGGAAATCTTTGCTCAGCTGGTAACTGGAAACCAGGGGACACCAAAACAAACAACACACGCAAGAAGAGAAGGAACTGGCCTTCTCCAGTCTTTGAACTCCACGACCGCACGGCAAACCCGCTTGGCGTCTCCAGCACCGTACTGTGCGTGTTTGCTTTGCTGTTTAGCTCTTTTGGCTGATAAAGTACCTAGGTAGCCTGAGATGTTCCCTCTGTGCCAGCTTTCCGTTTTGGGCCATTGATTTGGTTTGGTATTATTTTTAAACGTGGGTTTATCATTTCCTCATCACCCTGTGGTTGCTGTTGACCAGCTTAGCTGCTGACCTCGCAAGTGAAACCCTTCCAATAGCTTTTGACTGAGTTATGCATCAGACAAAAGATGCTGTATAAAGAAGCCAGGAGAGACTGGGGTGCGGGGGCCCTTTGTGGGCATACATTTGCTGATGCCAGTCAAATTGCCTCCAGTGATGTTTCTTTCCCTGTGGCCTTTCTTGTGCAGTACCCTCAAGCATCTTTGTAGACATTGGTCTTGGATTACCAGTTAGTCTATACAGAGCCAGGTGGAATGCATCAAGTATTAGGGGATAGTCATATCTATGATGGCAGGCAGGGTCAAAAATTCTTCCCTCATGCATGGATGTGGCTCGCACAGAAGTCAGGGAGAACCACCTTCATGCATCCTGGGGCAGGTTTTGGTCCAAAGATACTACTTTTAAATTCTGAGCGATATGCCAGGGCTTCATCAGACCACTGTAATGAAGATGGATAGGAAACTTGAGAAGATAATTACATTTCTGAGGTGACGGTCACTTGGTTTCCACAGAATAATTTGATGTTAATTGATCAGCTCTGGTTCTATAATGTCTCATGTCCAAAGGCTTTTCGGTTTAGCTCAGTCGGCGGACCGTGCTGTTAACCACCCTCCTGTCCCCACGCACTGCAAGACAGTGCGGATTTGCGAGGCAACTTGCTGCGACCACTTGCACCCACGCCGTGGCTTTATAAACTGCGCTCTACATAATGGTGCCATCGGACATGGTGCTGCCATATCTCACAGGGCCGGCCGGCGGCCCTTTTGATATTAGCATTTATTTTTTTATAGCAACAGCGACAACCTAGCCTTAAAAAAAAAACACCCAACAGTGTCCTTCTTTTCGTAGAGAGGAGTCATTCTGTTCCGAGGGGAGCGTCGCGTGGGGATCAGGAGAGAGCAGAGGGAGACAAGGAAAGGGTTCATGGCGTTCACATTCTCAGGAATAAACATGCTTGTTGCTACGCCTACCTGTGCCTCACATCAACCAGAGTTACATTCTGCTGCCATTCACAAGCTCAACTTTCTGGTAATTCAGACAAATGTCACATGGAAACATGACAGATGATGATCACTGTGTTTAAAATGCCAGGACGTTAACGTTTACCGTTTCTGTCATGAGGAGACCGCATGCTGCATGTTAGTATGCTTTCCTTCAGTTGATGACACTCTGTAGATTAATTTCCGGGGCTGGAGAAAAGTTCTGTTTTGTTGCCTAACTATTTGCCAATCTGCCAAGCAATTGAGTTTGTTGATAAAAAAAGAAAAACGTAATTAATGGAACTGGGGGTAGGGAGGGAGGGGAAGCTACTGAAATAATGTTCCAGCGAAAAGACCTTGTGTAAATAGATAACCATTTACTTTTAGTGCTTACCATTCTATTTAGAATATTCTTTTTTTGTTATATTGTTGTTCTAGTATTCAGTTTTCCTAATTTATTGAATGGGTGCTATCTTGTTCATTTCAACGGATTCGTTTATCTCGGCTACAGAAGAAGCTGTGTTGCGGGACAACGCTGAGCGATTATTTGTTTAATTTCTTATGAGACTCAGTTGCCGGGCCACTGTGGACTCGTTTTTCATAGTCGTTACATTCCCAGTTCTTTATGATGTTCATGATGCTTATTAGAGTTCTAGTGACTTGTACCACGTAGTTTACACTGTACTGCAATCATAACTGCATACAACTGCTGTACTAAAGACAAGTGTTTGCTGTTCTAATAAATGACTTTTATGAGAGAACGCTGCATGTGTGTCCACCTGAGCACCTTTGGGTGTCCCTGTACAGTCGCTGGGGGCATTTATCAAGCCATGGTCTTTACCTGTAGTGACAGAATTTCCTGTACAGCAGACATGTAGGGTACATATAGACTACACACTTGTTTCTAAAGAGATTGTCTAGACAGCTACCATTTTTTTTAAAAAATCCGCTTTTTTGAAAGAGAGCACCCAGCCAATCTGGCTGTTTTCTTTCGAAAAAGCCCTGTTTGTATTCAAGAACGCCTTTTTTTGAAAGAGCTCTTTCGGAAAAAAAAAGGCGTTCTTCCTCGTAAAATGAGGTTTACCGCTGACGAAAAAAACGCCGCGTTCTTTCAATTTAATTTCGAAAGAATGCCGTGGCCATCTAGACGCAAGTGAAGTTTTTTCTAAAAAAAGGCTACGTTTTCGAAAAAAAACATGTCGTCTAGACATAGCCCTTGAGACCAGCTGGGGACCGCCTATGTTCGACTGTGGCCCTGGGAAGGAGGAGGCCTGTGTGTCGGTGAGGAACACAAGTATAGAATCAGAACTGTAGGGCAGCAAGGGAACTCAAGAAATCATCTAGGCCAGTCTCGCATACTCCTGGCAGGACCACACACCATCTAGGCCGTCCCCGACAGGTGCTTGTCTAACCTGCTCTTTAAAAACCTCCGGTGATGGAGATTGCATAGTTCCCTGCGCTATTTATTCCAGTGATGAACCATGCTGACTGTGTGGAAGTGGGTTTTTTTCCTAATGTCCAACCTTAACAGTTCTTGCTGCAACGTGAGCTCCTTCTGCCTTGTCCTCTCCTCAGAAGTGATGGAGAACCAGTTTTTCTTCCTCATCTTTGTAGCACCCTTTTATGTCCTTGAAAACGGCTATCATGTCCCCTCTCAGTCTCCAGCAAGCTAGTGCAAGGAGGAGCTAGTGTGAGGGGCTGGAAGGGTCCCCCTCATATGCAGATCATAGGGTGCAAATGCAGCTGGAGCTTGGGTGGGAGTTCCATGCGGGAAAGGGAAGAGAGCAGGCACTAGGAGGACTCACTCCTCCACCTCCTTTCCAGAAGCTGCAGCTGGGGAGCCTAGCTGTGCAGATCCGCCCAGGCCGGTACTTTACCCCATGGCCGACCCTCTTCTCAGCGGTTCCCTGAAGGCTGTGTTGCGGGGTCTCTGCCGAGCGCGGCGAACTAGCTGGTTGTCATGGTGACGGCGCGAGGTTTGCATGGGAACCAACTGCAGAGCGCCCCCACAGGTAGGCCGTTGCGTTTCAGCACGGCTGGAAGTGAAACTCGGAGGGAGGTCTCAGAACCGACTCCATCAGCCCTGAGAACACCCAGCGTCCAAGCCCCCTGTTTCCTGGCCCACCCAGAGGCAGGCTGGAGCTATAGAAAAGACAAAATAACCCCTCTCACGAGCCAACAGGCTGTAGCTGCCTAGGAGAAGGAGACACAGCACAAGCTATTCTCCAGTAGGGAGGAGACACTCTTCCAGCAGGCCTGTCTCATAAAAGGAGGATCCCAACTTTCTGGGCTGGACAAGCACAGTAGGGGTTGAACATTGGGTGAGAAACACCTTATTAGACGGAAAGGAACTTGTTAATAAACCTAGGCTAAGCACAGTCGACCTGTGGAACTCCTTGCCATAGGATGCTGTGAAGGCCAGGACTTTAACAGGGTTCAAAAAAGAACTAGATAAATTCACAGAGGTTAGGTCCAATACTTATTAGCCAGGATGGGTAGGAATGGTGCCCCTAGCCTCTGTTTGTCTGAAGGTTGGAATAGGTGACAGATCTCTTGATGATACCCTGTTCTGTTCACTCCCTCTGGGGCATCTGGCATTAGCCACTGTGGGCAGACAGGACACTGGGCTAGCCGGATCTTTGGTCTGACCCAGTACGGCCGTTCTTATGTTCTCCTTTTACCTGCAACCTTATGTTTCCAAACCCTTGTACTTACTCGTATTCGAATCTATCTGCAACGCTGTTCAATAAACTTCCTTTTTTTTTTTTTTAACTAGAGACATATCTAAGTGTTTGGTGCTAAGGAGAGAGTTGAACTGAGGGCCTGGAATGCAGGGCCTGTGTTTGCCAGCCGATGGTGGCTGAAGTGTATTTCCCTAGCCAGGGCTCCCTCCTGCTGTGACTCAGCCTGGCGAGTTGGGTTAGACCCACCAAGTGGCATGGCAGTGCTGACAGGATCCCGGCTGCGGTGCCGGAGCCACCAGAGCAGGGATTTTGTCATGGCGAGCAGTCTCATAATCCCACCCACCGATACTGTGCTCTCTGGAGCAACTCCAGGGCCCGTGGTGCCGTTCTAGGGGCTAGAGTGTGTGGGCACAAGAGGGAGACAAAGAGCGCCCCTAGCGACAATCCCCACCCCCCGATTCTTTAATCCAAGCCCTCAGCAGCCTCCCTCTGTCCTTTGCCTCTCCACAGAGGAGTGTGGGGCTCTCGCTCGCTGCCGCCTGCGTGTATGTTTTAGAGCAAGGGGAGGGCGTCCGGCAAAGTTTGCAGCTAAGCACGGCCACAAGAAGGGTATTTACCCAGGCCAGCGAGTCGTGAAGTCCACCTCTCAGTGCCATGCCAGTAGGGCTGCTCTCCCCCAGCCTCTGAGCAGCGTGGGTGCCCCCAGTCGGGGGGTATGAACTTAGTGTACCCACCTCAGAGAGGCCAATGTATCTTGTTTCCCCCAAAACTCGGGGGGAAAAGGAGTGACTTTCCGCAGCAAGGCTGCCCGTGGCCCTAGCAACCAGCAGGCATGCCTGGATTCCAACATAGTTAGGCTGTATCTACACTGGCGCGATCTTGCACAAAAGCAGACGCTCTTGCGCAAAAACTTGCTGCCTGTCTACACTGGCCGCGTGTTCCTTGCCCAAGTAAACTGACGTTCTAATGTATGAATTCAGGGCTTCTTGCGCCAGAACTCTGACACTCCCGCTCAGAAATAAGCCCTTTTGCGCAACTGTTCTTGCACAAGAGGCCAGTGTCACGCAGTTGTCCCGTGGCTGCGCCTCGAGTGCCACTGTATGGTAAACTATTGCCCCTCCGGGCGGGGTGAGGAGTCCGGGCCCGCCCTCGCTCCGGACCCCGGCCCAGGGCCCTAACACCAGGAGCTAGCTCCCGATGGTAGCAGGTGGGGGTTTACCCCTAAACTCGCCTGCTCACGGGTTCCACTGCCCTCCCTGGGCCTAACTCACCCCGCCGGCCAGTTGCTGTCACACGTCCCTGAACCCTGACACCGCCGTCGGTCCACACTCTCTCCCTCCCCCCAGGTACCTCCATCAGTTTCCAACCACGCTCTCCCCCCTTCTCCCCGCTCAGACTCCTCATATATCCCCACGCCGATGCCCGCTCCTTCCCCTCCACTTCCGGGTGCGTCGCCCTCCTCCACTGACGCGCCAGTGACCTCATCCCCCGTTACTGGTGCGTCTTGATGATGCGCCGCTTCCCCAGTTTCTGGGCGTGCCGTCGCAGCAGAGTCCGTGCCCGCGTCTCCCGCTGTAAGCGAGTGATGGGGTGAGGCAACCCTGTCACAGCCAGTGTAGACAGGCAACATGAATTTCTTGCGCAAGAAAGCCCGATGGTTAAAATGGCCACCAGAGCTTTCTTGTGCAAGAGAGCGTCTACACTGGCACGGATGCTCTTGCACAGAAGCACATGCCAGTGTAGAGTTCTTGCGCAAGAAGCTGCCAGTGTAGACGTAGCCTTATAGTGTGATCCATGTGTCAGACGGCTGGTTTTCCCTCAGCTTCCCACTTAGTGCTTCTCATAGACTCATAGACTTTAAGGTCAGAAGGGACCATTATGATCATCTAGTCTGACCCCCTGCACAGTGCAGGCCACAGAATCTCACCCACCCCTCCTAGAATAATCCTCTCCCCTATATCTCTGATATTGAAGCCTTCAAATACTTTGAAGGCCCCAACATGCAGAGAGTCCTTCAGCTGTGATCTGTGCCCCATGCTACAGAGGAAGGCGAAAAACCTCCAGGGCCTCTGCCAATCTACCCTGGAGGAAAATTCCTTCCCGACCCCAAATATGGCGATCAGCTAAACCCTGAGCATGTGGGCAAGACTCACCAGCCAGACACCCAGAAAGTTCCCTATAGCAACTCCTATCATCCCTCCATTGACCTATTTCCAACTGATAATGAATGGTCAATTAGTTACCACGATCATGTTATTTCATCCAACCATCCCCTTATCATAGAATCATAGAACTGGAAGAGACCCCAGAAGGTCGTCAAGTCCAGCCCCCTGCTCTAGGCAGGACCAATCCCAACTAAATCAACCCGGCCAGGGCTTTGTCAAGCCGAGACTTAAACACCTCTAGCCAAGCCAAGTACCAAGCCATGGGTGGCCGGCTGTGTTTACCTGAGGCGAACCCTCTGCTAGTGGAGCCAATGCAGTTGTATTGTAGCAAGGAAGTCATGAATCGGTGCTACAGCCAGCAATGAATTTCTAGCGCCTCAGGCGCAAGGGTGAGGTGGAGGAGGAGAGAGAGGGCTGTTAGGATGCCTGCGGGGGCTGCTGCTGTGTATTCAGCTCACACATTCCCCCTTGCTAAGGCTACTGTCACAGGCGAGTTGTCATCCATCCGAGAAAGGCCGGGTAAAACAGGCGTAAGAAGCTAAAGGACACACGGTGGTAGGTCTCTGGAATCCAAAAGTAGATTTAAGTTTAAGTCAGCGCCTTCAAGCTTCCGGCGCTGTTCCTCGATATATAGTCAACAATATTGGTACCATCTATTACTCAGGGCAACAGGAGGGTTAGATAGTTCAGTGGCCCAAGCATTGGTTTGCTAAACCCTAGGTTATGAGCTCAATCCTTGAGTGAGCCATTTAGGGATCTCGGCCAAAAGTGGGTATGTCCCCCTGCTAGGAGAGTAGCAGACTGGACTCACTGACCTCTTAAGGTCCCTTTCAGCTCTATGAGATAGGTATATGTTATCTGAGTGGGCCACCAACCCAGGGGAAGTTCTAGTAAGAAACTGCAGC